ATCATCTCCCTTGGGAAGGCCCAGGAACACCCTTCCTGGTGAGGTGTCTTCATTTACCTGGTACCCTGGCCCATAGTTTGATTAGGGTGGGGCCCTAGACCACGTGGTATCATCTGCCCCCCAGAGGTTCTGTATATTAAAGTCGGTCATTTGGTTGGTCAGCCATGCAGACTGGATGACAAGGCTCCAGTGCATGTGGCCACATACAGTACTGCTGGGAGAACTAAGTCCAGTCTGCATGGCTCCACTGGATGCTATGCCTGGTCTCTCCCAGACTCACCTCATGTGTATTTCCATCTGTATCCTTTCTCTGTAATAAACACAGCACTGGCCTCTCAGAGTCCGGTAGATCACTGACCCTAAGGGTGGGTTGGGGACAATGCAATGCCCTTTCCAGGTGCACCACAAGCTACAGAAGGGCACAAGATTCAGAAAAGGGAAGGCTGAGCAGAGTGAGGCAGGTAGGGAGGTGAGGTCTTCCTGCGACAGGAAATGGCTACAGCTTGGGTCAGGGGAAGCAAGAGTGCCCCTGGGGATGGAGAGGAGGTGCTGAGGCAGGACTCGGTTAGCAGGCTATGGACCTGGATCCAGGGGTTCTGCTCCCCCAGACCAGGGACACAGAGTCCTGCCTGGGGCCCAGGTATAGGCCTGGGGGCCAGTGGCTTCACTAAGGAGCTGCAGACCACACAGGGGACACTGTCAGAGTGCTGGCACCAATGTGACTGTAAGTTGCTGGGTTTTGTTCAACTTTTTATTTTGAATTGACTGAAGGTTTACAAAGCAGATCATCTTTGTCAGTTAGTTCCATACCTTTTTCCCCAGAAATGTTTTCTGTTTCTGCATCTTGGTCATTTGTTTGAGCCATTCTTTCTTGTGTCTCATGTGAGCTGAAATTACTGTTTTTGGGGCACTGTGGGGTTGTCATATTTGTAAAAACAGACAGTGCTGTTGTAGGACCTGGAGGGATCTTTAGGGAGCACCTGCAATTAATTCAAGGAGTTCATGAGGTGGTTGTGGAAGGGATGTGGCAGCAGAGTTCCGGGCCCTAAATGGAGTTCCTATTGGCCTGGGTGTTATGTATGTTCAGGGCACTCAATCCAGAAGTAGTGGGGACCTTGATGGGGCTGGTTTCAGTGTCTGTTAGGACCACAGGGAAGCTGGGAACAGAGTGATAAGTTAAATGCTGGTCTGGTGACTTTGTGGGTTTTGTAGATCTGGAACCAAGCCCACCTGGATCCAGGCACCAAAGTAGCACACCAAAGAAGCACAGCCGGCCCCAACTTCACACTGGTATGACTCCCAACCATGTGACTTCAAACTCCCAGTGAGCAGGGTTTGTGCTGGGGGCAGATGAGGCTGGGAGCTGGTCACACCCCAGGTCACCAGGGGAGCATGGAGAAAAAGAAGGCATCACATCTAGCTCATCACCTATGTGAACCTGTTCTGCCAGGTTCTGTTCTGTTACCAAAGCTGCTCCCAAGATAGTGCAGCCTTCTGCAGTCTCTCTAAGTCCCCGCAGCAAGCACTCTATCCACTCTTCTAACCTTTCAAGTTCAAGATGCCAGAACTTCCATCTGTGTCTGATCTCTCATATCTTTGTAGAGGGCTGGTGTAGTCTTCTATCTAGTCCCTGTCTATAAGGTTTCTGTGATGTTCCAACAAAAAATTCTAATTGAAAAAATGTTCCTGTAGCTAGTCATAACAAAACATTTTTCGTAAGCCCAGTTTACACAGATCAACATACCTGCAAGGTTAGAACTGCTCTACTAATTCATTTCTTGAGCCTTCTAATGTCCTAGGGACAGAGCTGCCGTTAGTACGCAACTCCAGTGCCGCTTTGAATTATGTGGCTGTGTCTGCACATGCTCTGTCGTTCACATTACTCTTGGTGATTTTGTGAAATTTTCTGGTATTTTACCTAAGGATTTGTTATGTTCCAGTAGGGGAGTAGGTCCGTGGGGATTAGTGATGCCAAGAGTTACTGCACTGCAAACGTAAGGCAGACATTTTATAATTAAGGAGGGGAGTAGTTGATCTTGCAACCCAGGAGCAGAGGACCCTGGGACCATCAAGGCAGAAGAGCAGAGTGTGGGACCTATCCAGAGAAGCAGTGATACCAGAGATGGAGGCAGAGACGATGCTGTGGAGAGATAGAGTGTCTGGGGACTCTGGACTCAGGGAGGGAGAGGGTGTGCTGACAGCCAGGGGCAGGCTTGCAGGGTGTGCCCTTTGGTTGTTTAAATGGTTGTATATTCCTGAGTGCTTGGTTTACATCAAAAAACAAAAAACCAAGCCAGAGGGAATGAAAGCAAATACAGTTGCATGATGATGCATGGAGGAGATTGTAATCATTGCAATGAAATGAAATATGATAGGATGAATGTAAAGCTGATGTTCTCCCATGTAAACTATCACTCAATTCACAATAAAAATCTTTAATAAAAAAAAAGTAGTGATAAGGACACACAAAAGGAAATAGAATTTAGATTTAAAAAGCTTTCAAGGGCCAAACTTGGACAATTTGATTATCACAGAAGACATTGAAAGTAACAGATAATAATCCATTCAATAGAACTAAAATATGTGTTCATATTTCAATCAGCTATAAAGAAGGAAGAAAGAATGAAAGAGAGAACATGAGAAAGAGAAGGAAGGAATGAAGAAAGGAAGGCAAGAGAGAAGGGAGAGAAGAAGAAAGGGATGGAGGGAGGAAGGGTAATCAAGTGGTGAGGAAAAATATAAAATGAAAATACATTTTATCCTTTGCTTCATTTCATTTCTGTATTTGCTTTTTAATTAAGAACACTTTAAAAACTGTAAAGTAAACCCTGTAAATTTAGTCAAGAACATTATAAATAACTTCTTTTTTTGCATTTGTGATTTTAAAATATATGTATAAATTGCTAAAAACAAATGCATCCAATCAAAGTACTTTGATTTAAACATAAAACAGGTTCAGATGGTATGTATTCCGTGCATAAGACAGAAGTGCCTACTCATTTGTAGGCATCCCCCTTTCTAATCGTATTCCTTTATACCTCAGTTACAGACAAGGTAGGGCACAATCTGTTAGGAAGAATATTCTGAAATTACACAGGTAGTGGTGGTTATGTGCCCTGAAGCCGATTCCAACTCACAGCGAGGGTACCCTGGACAGGGTTTCCGAGACTGTAAATCTTTACGGGAGCAGAAAGCCTCATATTTCTCCCGCAGAACAGCTGGTAGTTTTGAACTACTGACCTTGAGCGTCCCAGACCGATTGGTAGCCACTACGCTACCAGAGCTTCTAGTTAAATTGAAAATATTTTCCTAAGTCTTTTCCAGCACTGTAGTATGCGCTGCTGACCTCTTAGTATAATAAATTGACTTTCTATTTTGGAGGGGAGAAAAGTTACTACACTGGGTGACAGTTTCCTAGCGATGCCACCATCGCAGCTGCAGAACCTCGGAGCTTTCCCATCGCCTTGCCTGTGGACTGGGCAGCGAGGGGCGCGGTCCTCCGGGCGCCTAGAGCGTCCGCGAGAGCGTCTCGGAAGTGCGCGTGCGCGCGGCGGGCAGTGGCTGTCGGGGGCCGGGCATTTCCTGTGGGCGCGCTGCGGCCGCCTCGGGTTCGGAAGGTGAGTGGGCGCTGGTGGCTACGTTGGGTGTCCGGGCCAGTGAGCGTGCGGAGCCCCTTGCAGCCACCCCTCGTCGTGACCTCGGGCTCCAGCTGTGCCGCCCCGGAGCGCAGGGGAGCAGCCTAGTCCCGGGAGCCGCGGGCCGCCAGGTCCTTTGCGGTCGTGTGGTTTCCGTCTGCGGGTCGCCCAGCGGGCCGCTCTGGAGCCCCAGGGATGGGACTTGTCGCCACCCCCACTTGGCGACGGGAACGGGCGCAGGGAGGTACCCTGTCTGAGGTCATACGGCTGAGCCGGGGCGGCGGCTGCTTCCCGCGATCGTGTCCTTCTCCACGGGCAGAGGCGGCGGCGAAGTGACCCGTGACGCCAGGTCCTCCTGCCTCCGGCCCCCGACTCAGAGCCTGTGACCCCCACGCCGCATTGTCCACATGAGGGAACTGAGCCCCCAATAAGTTCTCTAACTGAAGGTATTGCTTAGGGGTGGGGGGCCTGCTGCCCCTCGCCCTCATGTGCGCATGCCCTTGCCCATCCTAAGTGATAAATAAGGTCAGCCAAGGGGTCTGACCCAGAGCCCCTGGTGTGCCAGGTCTCTGGGGGATGGTGTTCTTCCCAAAGCAAGTTTTGTCTTACTTCGGTCCCGTCCCTCAACCCACTGTTTCACAATATAAAAGGAAAAGAAAAAGACGTGTCATACTGGACGGATCTGGTGGCCCAGTGGATTAGGCATTGGGCTTCTAGCCACAGACTTGGTAGACAAGAGAAGGATGAGACGGCCTCAGTAAACATCCACAGCCTCAGAGCAGTTCCACTGTGTCCTGTACGGAGGGTCCCTATGACTGAAAGTCCACTGGGGTGGGTTGGGTTTGGGGTATCTGACCCCATATGAGCCCAGATGCAGTGAGCAGGGCTCTCTGTGTGTGGTAGGGGGTCCCAGGGCCAGCCCCTGAGGACTGCAGCTCTCCCCCCTCTGCCTCCAGGAGCGTCTCCGAGTTGTCACCTTGAGCCTGTTCCCAGTGTGGTGCGGGAGGCTTTTAGGACTGGGATGCTTTGTGTGTTTAAGGCCGAGGCTGGGAGTTGGTTCCAGAAGCTGTGCTGGGTCAGTCTCCGACGCTGCAGGTGCTCTTCACGAGCTGACAGCTGTTCACATTGCTTGTTTCTGAGTAAACCAGGTCCTGGAGCCCATGATCTCTGGCTTCACCTGTCACCAACTCTGAGCACACTCATTTCCCTGGTGGGCGAACAGGCCTGTCTCACCTGGTGCAGCTCGAGGCCTCCGGGGGCACTGGGGGCTGACATGCCTCCCAGCCCTCTTGGCCCCCTCATCCTGCCACGGTTCTCATTTTCCCCAGGTCCCAGGTGTGAACACCTTCAGGAGGCCTGGGGAAGATGGCAGCCCTGGGGGACAGCCAGGAGCCCCCTCCTGCTCTGCCCCATGTCAGTCTCTCGTCACCGGGGACACCACCCGGAGCCCACCAGCACCCTGGAGCCCTGCTTCACCTCCATGATCATCCACATGGTACTCACCTGCTGCCTGTGTACCTCCATGAGCCACAGCACCTGGCCCCTGGGAGCAGGTCAATCCCTAGTTTCCATGCTAGAAAGACGGAACATCTCCAGAGTCCCTGGGGGACCTGCAGAGTGGGCACTGCCAGCTCTTCACAGTCCTAATGGTCACCTGGCAGGGTCTAGGGTGTCAAGTGTGGGGGGTGGGCCTCACGGGGAGCCCAGTTGTCAGCCCTGGCCCACGTGTGCCTAGAGGAGACGTGCCCGGGACTCAGCCCCAGGACACAGGTGGCTGTGTGACTAGTGAACTCGGGTGGTTCTCATGTTCCACACTAGTGGCCCCACACACACACACATCCATCTCTGAGCACACACACCCTCTGGGCACTGACTGGTCTTGGTGTTCCCGTCCCTGCCTGGGAGTGGGTATTGCTCTCTCAGTGACTTCTCAAGTGGCCATGAGAGAGTTGGCTCAGGAGACCTCTTGGTGGCTCTCACAGGCAGGCTGTTGGGGGCACATGAGTCCTTTCCGGAGGAGCTGCTTGCAGAGCTCTTAAAAGGCCAGAGGTGGTGACCAGTGGATGCGCCCCTGCTGCAGGGCAGCCCCTTGGAGCCCTCACCTGGGGTTGAGGGTCCACACAGCCTCCCAGGGGGCTCTACTCCCTTTGGGACTTGAGCCCACCTCTCCTGCAGCCCCGCCCCATGGAGTCGGGGGCGGGAGTTACTGCCCTTCTTCCTGGGCCTAGTGGTCAGAGGACTCCACCTGAAGGCAGGGAGAGATCGCTGGCCACCGACGGGCCTGTCCCCTACAGTGGATGAGGCTGGGCAGTGCAGATGGACATGCCAGTGAGTGAGCATGGAGATGGACCCACACTGCAGGCAGTGAGCGAGGCCCTTCCAGACTCTGTTGAGTGGGCTGAGGGCCAACACATAGAGAGGAGGTACCCCTGAGCATGCTGGGAGGAAGAATTGAAGGCCTCTGTCAGGGAAGCTGTAGATGGCAGCAGCTGGTTTGTTGGGGGCAGGGCAGGAGCAGGGAGACCTTTTGCGCCCTGGGCTGGTTTCCTGAGGAGAGGGAGGGGTAGCACCTGGGTGGGAAATGAACCTCAGCCTCCCTGTCCTGCCCCCAGACATTCCTGGTTCCAGCCCTGAGGTGCGCTTCCAGCCCCAGGAGCTGTCAGACCTGGAGCCCCAAGACGAGCAGGAAGTTGACATCGGCAGAAACACCTGCTGGCCTGGTGAGTGAGAAGAGCCTGGAGAAGTGACCTGGGGGCGGGGCCCACGGAACTGTGTCCGCTGCTCATCGTGTGTTGGACCACCTGGCTCCCTGGGGCTCCCTTGCCCCTGCCCCTCACTTAATCCAGTTAAAGCCTCTTCCTGTGGCTAAGAATGCAGTCAGGACCCCTTCCCTGAATTCCAGACCCTCACTGCCTCTCCTGCAGGCCACACGGTGGATACCTCATCCTGCCTGTCTGTACCGTCTGGCTAGGATCTCTGATTGGTGGTACCATTGTTATCGTGTCTACCCCCCGCCCCCCCCCAGCTTCCCGTGACCCAGGCCAGCAGCAGGCAGCATTCTGGAGTCCCTGCTGCCGTTCTGCAGTGCCTGGTTTTCCCAGTGTCCCTCTCCCGTTCTTGCTTCCGTCCACCCCACCTGCTCGGATGCATGGTCTTCACATAGTGAGGTGATTCCATCTGGAAAGAACTCCTTCAGCATTCTGGGGTCTAGGGCTGTTTTTTTTCCTACAAGAAGAAAGTAGGTGGGCTGTAACTCATCACCTCAGTCTCCATCCTGGTCCAGGGGCTCACCTGGCAGGTGATGCAGCTTTTCTTCCCTGAGGCCCAGGCTGGGGCCGCCTCTACATTCATCACTAGAACTGGATGTGATTGTACAAAAGCCCCTGCCAGTTTCCTGCACACCTTCACTTGCCCCCGTTGGCAGCTGCCCTGCCTCCCTGATGGTCATTGGGCTAGCCTCTCTGGCTCTTCTGTAGAAATGGGAGCCTCCTCTCCTCAGCCTTCCACCCTACAGCTGACTCCTCACTGTCGGTTCTCAGGACGCACAGCCCCAGCCGCTGGTCATACACCCTCAGATGGGTGGGTGGGCATTATCTGCCACTCCCTTTCTTATTGCAGATTCTGAATCGGAGCTGGAGAAGGCACCACCATCTGCCCAGTGTGAGGCTCCCGAGGTAGTGGGGGGCCAGGGGGCAGGGGTGCTGAAGAGCCTGCTCAGGGCCCTTCCCCGGAGACCGAAGTGTGGGGACAGCTTTGGGCCAGAGGCCAGTTTGGAGTGGCCCACAGGCCAGCCATCAGGGACTGGACCGTGCACACAAAAGACAGGCACCTGGCACATGGCGCTCTTGTCACAGGGAACTCCGGGGAGCAGTGGGGGCTTGGGCCTGGCCTTCGGGGACCGGCAGGGTAGCCCACGAGGTGGAAAGCCGCACCCCTGTGAGACCTGCGGCAAGAGCTTCAAGTACAACTCGCTGCTACTGAAACACCAGCGCATCCACACCGGGGAGAAGCCATACGCCTGCCACGAGTGTGGCAAGGCCTTCCGCGGCTGGTCAGGTTTCATCCAGCACCACCGCATCCACACGGGCGAGAAGCCTTACGAGTGCGGCCAGTGCGGCAAGGCCTTCAGCCACAGCTCACACTTCACGCAGCACCTGCGCATCCACAACGGCGAGAAGCCCTACAAGTGTGGTGAGTGCGGCCAGGCCTTCAGCCAGAGCTCCAACCTGGTGCGGCACCAGCGGCTGCACACGGGCGAGAAGCCGTACGCCTGCAGCCAGTGTGGCAAGGCCTTCATCTGGAGCTCCGTGCTCATCGAGCACCAACGCATCCACACGGGCGAGAAGCCCTACGAATGCCACGAGTGCGGCAAGGCCTTCCGCGGCCGCTCCCACTTCTTCCGGCACCTGCGGACCCACACGGGCGAGAAGCCCTTCGCCTGCAGCGCCTGCGGCAAGGCCTTCGGCCAGAGCTCGCAGCTCATTCAGCACCAAAAGATCCACTTCCGGGAGTAGGCGGGGCGTCCGGCCAGAGTCCCCAATAAATCCTTGCTGGTTGCTGGAAGGGGTGCTGGCTACTCCCGTTACAGGAGAGGGTGACGGGATCGACTCCCAAACCCCCGCGCGGGGACCCACACTGCCTCCCTCTGGCCGCTGAGGTGCGGGGAGGGCCTTCAGCAAACAGCCTGCCTGGCCTGGCCGAGAGTCTTCTATGCACGCTCTAGCCTTGGCTCCACTTGGGCGGGGGTCTCGGGTGGGGTGGGGCTCCTGCTTCTAGCCCTCTGAGACCCTCCATTTCCTCTCTCGTCCCTCCTCTCTCCTCTTGCCATGACTTCCATATTGTAGACGAGACCTCCCTTCCACCATTCTCCCTGTCTCCTGCTGGGCATGGTTGGGGCCCCTGGCTGCTCAGGTTTTAACAGGTGTCTACTGTTAGAAGATCTACCAGGACTGCCTCGCCTCAGAACCCCACTGAACCCTGGATTTGTGGGAGCATAGTTGTGGAACACAGGAAGCAGCTGGGGTTGTCACTGGGTTCACTGTGTCCAACAGGGTCCACGGTGGGAGGGAAGCTGTGACACCTTGCCTTCTCCCCGTCCCTTCTGGGCAGATTTCGGACCCGCCTCCCAGTTCCTCCTTCCGTGAGCCCCCTTTTCAGTGCTGGACACAAGGTCCCTGGTTACCCCCACATTGCAACCTCACCTGGGCTGTGCACACCGTAGGCAGCTGTGAGACATTCGGGTCGTCTGTTATGCAGACACGGATACAACCTCGAGATAGAGATGGGGCTTGTCCTCCCTGGAGACAGAACAAGGCTCTATACAGGTCCCCATGTGGCCCCTTGAGTGTGAGCTGGGCCTCCACCACCAAGTATTTCCACTGGCCCTCTGGCCCCTCACCCGCAGCACTGGTTTCTTCCCTGTCCTCCCTGGGAATTCATCTGGAAACCTGAGAAGTAGGGGTGTAAGCCCTCACCTCTGCCCTCCCCTCAGCACATGGGTGCTGGGCTCCTGGGGGAATGACCAGAGTGATTCTGTTCCAGCTTGCCCATTTTATCACAAGTTCGCTCCTCAGGGACTTGGAGGGGTCAGTGACCTTGGACGTCAGAACTGCGCCAGTCAGATGTCTCCTTGTTGGGGTTGTTGGTCGTCGCGGGGCAACCGGAGAAGACCCCAGTCCCACAAAGAGATAATGCCTGACTTCCTAGGATTACCAGGGGTCAGCGGGGTAGAGAAGATGGAGAGTGGTTTTCTAAGTAACAGGAACAGTATTTTCAAGGGCGTGGAGACGTTAGGATGTCTCTGCAAAGAGTTGGAGGTTTCCGTGGGACCCCATGGGGTGCCCTGAAGGCTGAAGGGGCAGGTGCTGCGGACCCAGGACAGAGGGCCTCACTGCACACCTGCCATGGCTCCTAACACTGCAGACTGGGGAGAGGGTGGATGGAACCCAATGGACTTCGCCTGGAGTTGGCAATGTCCCCCATGATCTGAAAGCATTGCCTTACAAGTCACCCCAGCGCAGACCTGACAGCTGGCCACAGAAAGGACAGCCAGGAGTCCTCCAAGCCTCCAGGAAGTGCCCCGCAGGCCGTTTTGCTGGTGTGGTCCTGGCGGGATGGAGCCTACTGTGTAAGACGAACTGTTGGAAGTAGGGCGGGACCTGGCAGGACAGCTCTGGGACGGAGGCGGGGCCTTGGAAGGGGCGGGGCCTGCTGGAGCCTAGTAAATGGCTGCGCTGGAAATGGGCGGGGGCGGGTTGGGGTGGAGGTGGGGCCCTGAAACAGCCCAGCTTTTCCCGACCCCAGGACGACCCGCGAAGTTACTGAGCGGGTTCACACTGTCAGTGATGGACTTTACCCCAGCCAGCGAAGGTTACGAAATACCCCACCTCTGTGTTTGGGGAAAGTTTAGCGAGAACACTTTTCCCCATCGACAAAGACAAAGGGGTGCCCTGGGTTTAGAGGAGCCCAGACCCTCCACGGCCCCATTCTCTGCCTCACATATGACCCACAGATGAATGGGAACATGCGCTTGCTCGCCGAACTTTGGTGAAGTCTCCTTCACCAGATCCGTGAAGTTGGTCCTCCCTCAGACTGACCTAGCAGAAGCTGTCGTCCTGTAAACGCATCCTCTGCCCCATTTCGCCACCTCACACCCACTTTCCACACCCGCTTCATTCTTTCACAGAACAGCGCTTTTAGTCTGACCCTTAAGTTAGCTTAAGTTGTTCCTCTTTGGCAGTCCTCTCTCACGCCTGCCAACAATCCTTTTGAATAAAGCCTTTCCTTGCTAATCCTGGGAGACTATGATAGCACAATGGTTAAGCGTGCTCAGATGGTGACTGAAAGATTGGCAGTTCAAACCCACCATCAGCTCTGAGGGAGAAAGATTGAGATTAGTCTAGGAAACCCCACGGGCAGGTCTACTGTGTCACCCAGCGTCACCGTAAGTCGGAATGATTTGACAGCACCCAACAACCCTAAAGCCTCTGGTTTTGACAAGACCCTGAGCTCTGTGAACGCACTCACCACCCATAAGGTAGCAGGCATTGCCTCAGACACAACGACAACCTCTGAGTGTGTGGTAGACATGGAACATCAGAATGCAGAGCCAGTACTTTAGCTTCTGCACAACACTTTTTCTTAAGGCTCCCAGGATTTTCATGGCAGCACATAAAAACCCAACACACACAAAGCCACACCATAAGCATCAGAGAACTATACAGCCTTCTGGTATTTCCCATTACAGTTCTTTCTAAGTGGTAGTTGCAGCCCCCCACATTGCTTTCCTGGCCTGATGATGAGGCCTGGGGACCAATGAAGTACCAGCTGTGGGCTCCTCACTGAGACCTTCTTCTCTTCAATGGGGAACCCACCAGGACTTGTCAACGTTCCATTGCTTTCTCAACAGTTCAATTACCTTTTGTACATTTAATAGATTTTTAAAATGTCACTTTAATGTCAAATAAGCTCTCATGCCACAGGTATTTGGTGATGGTACAGGGTGATCCCCAGTGAGGGCAGCTCCAGACCTGGCCTTGTCACCCGCTGAATCTCCAACCTAACAGCGTTGTGAGCTCTTGCATAAAGTCGAGGACCTGTTCCTGACTCCGTACAGTCTTTTCTGAATCTCCTTTCTTTATTTTAGAGTGGACTGAACAGCAGGGACAGCATCCACAGGACAAGATCCTTGATGGACTGAGACCACATAGGTGCTGGTGGAAAGTCAGAGGTGGTCACTGAGGGCCTATCAGGAGTTGGAAGCCTCTCCAGTTATTCCAACTGAGAAATTTTAGAATACTGAATTGTGAAGCAGGTATAGTGGTTACTGCACACTGAAGTATTGTCAAGGTTGTATCCTTTCCCCATATGTATCCAATCTACATGCAAGTAATACTACAAGAGGCTGGACTATATGAAGAACACTGTGGCATCAGGATCGGAGGAAGACACAAAACAACATGAAATATGCATATGTCATAATCTTGCTCACTGAAAATGAAGAGGATTTGAATCACTTATTGATGAAGAACAAACACTACAGCCTTCAGTATAGTGACATCTTAACATAAAGAAAACAAAATCTTCACAACTACATCAACAAGCTTTGTTGTTATTTGTTGTTGTTGTTAGGTGCCATCAAGTGGCACTGACTCATAGCGACCTTATGCACAGCAGAACGAAACAATGTCAGATCCTGGGCCAACCTCACTACTGTTGCCACACTTGAATCCATTGATGCTTCCACCTGGCCAATCCATCTCATTAGGGGTCTTCCTCTTTTTTTCTGACCCTCCATCTTACCAAACATGATACCCTTCTCCAGCGACTGTTCCCTCCTGACAGTATGTCCAAAGTATGAGAGACGAAGCTTAGCCATCCTGGCCTCCAAGGAGCACTCTGGCTGCACTTCTTCCAAAACAGATCTATTGGTTCTTTGGGCAGT